TTTGCTAAGCTTGTTCTAAGTAGGTGCTTTAGACCACTGAGCCATCTCTCCAGCCCAAAACAAAACTTTTAAACTGCATAATGATGGTATAGGCATGTTCTGTGTGTTTTAGCTACTAAATACTATATTTGGATTTATTGACTCTTCTTTCTGCAGACATGGGCTCCAGGCACTTGCTGCTTCATGATTCCTGGCTTCAGCTTCTCTGCTGAAGGGTTATGCAGAGACTGATGGATGGTCATCCATCCATTTGTGATCCTTTGGTCACAAGTCCTCCTACACCAACTATTCTTCTCAGCCCCACACTCAGGTTAGGCTTTCCCATCCTCCTTCCCGAGTAGCTGCAGTGCTGATATACAGGCTGGGCTTATTTCCTCAGCCCCTTGCAACACTCATACACACACAGTCTGGTTTTTAAAACTTGTTATTTCTTTTATTAAAAATTGCAATTGATGGGGCTGGGGAGATGGCTCAGTGGAATAAGCGCTTCCCAGGCAAGCACAAGGGCCTGAGTTCAATCCCCGGTTTCACAAAAAAAAAAAAAAAAAAGTTAAAATTGCAATTTATGTTTTGGTTCTTTCAATAACGAAGAATGAGACTTCATTGGGCCAAGGTTTTGGGAAGCCCAAGAAGGGGAGGTATGTGTGGCATAAAGAAGTGGGTTGGGTGGCTGAATCTCCAGTTCCCGTCTGAGCCTGTGAAGTGTATAACAGGAGCACCCTGCTGGAGGAGCCAGGGCTTAGCTGTGGACAGGCTTCAATTTTAGTTCCTTCATTTCTGCCTTCTGCCCCTTTGTTCAAGTTGACTCTGACATCGCAGCAGGGCATGTATGTGTCAGTCCACACACCCCATCCTACAGGCCTCTAGTTCTATCCCAGAGTGCAGGTCATGGTTTCCTACTTTACTCTGGATCCACTTTGCGGCTTAACTCTCCAGCATCTGCTCACAGGTTCGGGCAACATCACTGAGCTTGAGGCGGGCATAGTCTACTCGCTTCAGAGCCATTTGACAGTCTTTCCTTGAAGAGTAGCTAGAGCCCTCATGGGGCTGTCCTGTGGCCACCTATGGGACAGTGAGATTGATGAATGGGGCACTGTTTCCCTTACCCACCCACCCCCACCCAGCATCAGGTCTCTTGTGTCATTTTTTCCCTCAGTTGATCTGTTAAGCTGCCTGGTAGCTCAGTGACCTAGAACAAATCACTTAAATTCTGTTAATCTCATAGGTGAAATGCAGGTGATAATAATTATTTCCTAGAGTTGTAAGATTGCATAGGATAATATACAGTGCTCAAAACACAGTCAAACTTAGTTAACAGTGGTAGCAGTCAGAAGTAAGGACTTTGGTGCTTTATTTATTTATTTATGTGTGTGTGTGGCCAGCTCAGCCCACCAGGGGGCGGGGCTGGCTGGCATGTGGTGCTGGGGGATTGAACCATGGTCCCTGTGCTTTGCTAAGCTTGTTCTAAGTAGGTGCTTTAGACCACTGAGCCATCTCACCAGCCCCCTTTGGCGCTTTCTTGATCTTGTCTCCTTTTTCCAGGTAAGCACCTGAGGCCTCATGCCTGGAGGTCAGTGCAAATTTGTGGCTTCATTTAACGCTTCCATGCCAACTCTGAGGCACTTCACCATCCAGTGCTTCAGACATAATACCGAGGTGGATAGGGCCACATTTCATGTTTTTCCTTTTAGTGGAAAAAACAAGCCCTGGAAAGAAAGGTTCCACATGGTTGTGGTGGTGTCAACTTGGAAGCCTTGATCTGATTTTGTTCAGTTAATGCACCGCAGGGGTGCAGGTTACTCTTAAGGCTAAGGCGAAGAACTGAGGTGGGCCTACGGTGTCTCCCAGGTACACCTACCTGTGTGAGGTAACGGATCTGAGCCGACAGTTCCGCCTCCACGTGTTGCACTGAAGCGCTGAAGGCCGTCGCCTGCCGGTCTAGGAGCCGCTCATTGGTTTTTTCCTTGGACAGTTCCAGGATCACAGTCCCTGCCGGGGAGGAAAGAGGGCGGAGTTATCTGGAGATTGGCAGTATAGCCCCGCCCAAAGGCCTCCGCAACCAGCCCATCTTTTGCTGCGCATGAGCTTAAGAGCCCGCCCAACCAAGCCCGATGTCTTTCTTTGGTCGGCTCGCTGTTGCTCCCTATATATAGTCAGCTCGTCACATCCCGAACCTGCATTCTGGAGGATGGCGCCGATTTCCCTTTCGATGTCTTCCAGGGCGCGTAATCGCTCATTCGCCAGGCTATAGGTGGCCATTGTCCCTCTGAGAAACTCCAAGAGATTTTCTCCTGAAGATTGCGACTTTGGAGCCCGGAAGTGGCTGTCAGTTTGCGCCTGCGTAAAGGGTACACTACAATTCCCAGGATGCCTAGCGCGGCCTCGCCCTTCTCGGTTCCCCTGGAAAACTACAACTCCCAAGGAGCCGTGCGCCTGTCCTCTGCTCCGCCACCACGCGACCACCTTGGGTAAGAGGCAGTATTGAGCTAGCTCCCGGCTTGAGGCTGTTCAGATCTCTTCACTTTCAAGACATTGTTTTGTGAACTGTATTTCGTTTATTCGGCGAGAATTTATTAAACTATAAAGCGTCGGCTGGGTTCTAGGTAATGGTGGTGGTAATCCTAGGGCCACGTGGTGTGGTCTTGCAAAATGGTCAAGCCTTTCATTTATTCCCTGTCTGAACTAAAATATTCCAACGTGTTGCTCCTTGAAGTAGATGCGGATGACTGTCAGGATGTTGCTGCAGATTGTGAAGTCAAATGCATGCTAACCTTCCAGTTTTTTAAAAAGGGGGAGAAGGTGAGTGAGTTTTCTGGCGCTAATAAGGAAAAGCTTGAAGCCGCCATTAATGAGTCAGTCTGTGTTTTCTAAAGAACCTAACTATCAGTGTTTAAAACTGAATTTTTTTTCATTTACAAAAAAATATGAAGTATGGAAACTATATACTCAACTGCCATCTGATTATAAATGATAATAAAATATTAATTCTATCCTTGAAAAAAATATTCATCCAGACTGAATAGTCATGGGCCCTTTGTCTGCTAACCTTGTCCGAGGAAAGCTTGGCTTGGTGGGTGTTAACATTATCCTTCCTGGGGTCCCCCAGACCTCGAGCCTAATGAGAACACAGAGTATCAATATATTCTCAGATGCTGGCTCCTTCCAGCCTTTCTCTCTTTCTCTTTCTGCTTACCTGTTATGTACTGGGTCTGGGAATGTAAAGTTGAATGAGATGGAGACTCATGTAACAGTGGGATAGATGTTTTGTTAGAGATATGGCAAGGACCACTGAGAAAAGATTCTTGGAGGAAGTGTTTCTTGAACAGTTAAGGGGTTAGTTAGATGGATGAGAGGGTGGGGTGGAAAAAGGAAACAGCATAGGCAAGAGCATGGTGCTGTGATGGGGCTGGGCCTGGCACATTTGGAGTCCAGCAAGATTCAGTTTGAGTGGTGTGAATGGAATGTGGTGGTTGTTAGGTGTGATGGTGGTACAGTTGGATGGGAGCTGGATCAGAAAAAAGCTAAGCTAAATCACTTTGGACTTTGTACTGAAAACCTTCAAAGACCTCAGGTGCCCAAACTGCTGGGGTCTTTGAAGGATTTTCAGCAAGTGTGTTACAGCTAGATTTACTTTTTTTTTTTTTTTTGTGGATCTGGGGATTGAACTCAGGCCCTTGCGCTTGCCAAGGAAGTGCTTATTCTACTGAGCCATCTCCCCAGCCCCAAGATTTACTTTTTTGAAAAATCACTTTTTTCTTTTTTTTTTCTCCCCAGGTACTGGGGATTGAGCCTAGGACCTTTGAACTGAATTACATCCCCAGCCCCTTTTTTTATTTTGAGAGCTGGGCATGGTGTACTCTTCTAATCCCATCACTTGGGAGGCTGAGGCAGGAGGATGGCCACGAGTTCTAGGCCAGCTTTGACTATATAGTGAGTTCAAGGCCAGCCTGAACTATATAGTGAGATCCTGTCTCAAAACAAAAAGGAAAAAAAAAGCAAAAAGAAATATTTTGAGACAGGATGTCACTATGTTGATAAATTGCCCAGGCTGCGCTCAAACTTTGGATCCTCCTGATTCAGCTTCCCAGAGTGCTGGGCTTATAGGTATGTACCACTGTGCCTAGCTGGAAAGAGCACTTTTGACAGTTTACATGGAAACATTGAGAATAAAATGATATCCCAAGGCTGAAATCCCAGCTACTTAGGAGGCTGAGGCAGGAGGATCATAATGTAGAGGCCAGTGTGGGCCAAATAAAAAATAAAAAATGGGATGTAGCTTAGTGGTAAGAATGCTTGCCTAGCAAGGGTGTAGGCCCAGGGTTCAATTCCTAGGACTGAAAAAAGTAAATAAATAAAATAAGAGTGAGAAGTTAATAGGAAGACTTTAGGTACACTCTTGACACAAGAAGCTAAGTAGTAACTGAAGAAAGCTTAGAAAACAAATTGATTTACCTGATGTTAGTGGTATTACAATGTGGGTAAAAGTGGTACTAAAATTATGAGTGTTATTTAAAGAAGTTAGATCTCCTCCTTGGCTTCATATATCTTGGCAGTTACTCTTTTTAATCTATTAGAATGCTGGGAATTTCTTTGTTGGAGAGGGGAAAATAGTTTTTAGCTTGGAAGACACCTGGGCACAGTTGAACAAAAGACTACTGCATTGAGCTGGGTGTGGTGGTGCATGCCTGTAATCCTAACACTCTGGAGGCTGAGGCAGGAAGAGTGCCGCAACCTCAAGGCCAGCCTGAGCTACCTAGTGAGGTCCTGTTTCAAAAAACAGAAAACAAAAAACAATAAAAAAAGAATACTGGATTGAAAATAAATTAAGTGGAAGTTTATGAACTGGATACTGGTTTGCATAACCCTGACAAGCAGGCTTGTACTTTCCAGGAGTCTGCAAGACACTCCTCTGGAAAGTTTGCTTACAGAAAAGATCTAATTAACCTCAGGTGCTCTTCGTCTAAACATGTAGCCAGATCACACCATAGTGAAACTCATAGTGGCTAACTAAGTCTACTTTGTGTTCATGGAACTTCCAGTCAGTTTCTTAGCACCTCTTTTTTTTTTTTTTGTAGTGGTGCTGAGGATGGAACCCAGGGGTGCTGTACCATGAGCTACCTCACTTGAATATAAACAGACAGGAAAGGATTTTTAAATTTTTGAATAAAATTTTTAACATGAAAGCTAGGGGCTGGGGATTAGGTCAGCAGTAGAATGCTTGCCTAACAAGCTGGAAGCCCTGGGTTCGGTCCTTGGCACCAAAACCAAAAAATAAACCATAACATGAAAGCTAGAGACTAAAATACCTGAGGGGTAGGGAGAACAACTTTTGGACTTTGTAGATAAAAGATACTGTAAAAAGATTAGCTAGAGGACAAAGGCATATACCTATAGTCCCCGGTACTTAGGAGGCTGAAGCAGGATGATTGCTCGAGTTCAGGAGTTTGGGGCTAGCCTGGGCAACATAAGAAGACCCTGCCTTTTATTTTTATTTTATTTTATTTTTTAAATTTTATTTATTTATGTGTGGGAGGACAGCTCAGCCCACCAGGGGGCGGGGCTGGCTGGCATGTGGTGCTGGGGATTGAACCGTGGTCCCTGTGTTTTGCTAAGCTTGTTCTAAGTAGGTGCTTTAGACCACTGAGCCATCTCACCAGCCCCGACCCTGCCTTTTATTAGAGAAAGAAAAAGAAAGAAAGAGAAAGAAAGAAAGATCTTCTTGAGTGTACAGTATCTGTTCTTATCAGTTTAGTATCTGATACGTTCTGTCTTTAAGAACAATATATTAAATGGGTTTTTGGAAATAGGAGATGGAATAGGAGCTTGTCCTGTCACTTCCACACACTGATCTGGTATCATGACTTCAGGACTGGTGTATCCCATTGGGGAAAAAGCCAAGAAAGTATACTTGAAAGATCAAACTGTGGGGGAAGGAATAGAAAATTGAAAAAGAAATTGAGAAACTCCTCTAGCAAATGAAAAGACATGTAGGAAAGAAAATCACAGAGAATATGAAGAGGGAAAAAAGGGCTGGTGCTTTCAGATTAAAAGGACCTATTAAATACCTGGTAGAGGGCTGGTGAGTTGGCTCAGTGGTCTAAAGCACCTACTTAGAACAAGCTTAGCAAAGCACAGGGACCACGGTTCAATCCCCCAGCACCACATGCCGGCCATCCCCGCCTCCTGGTGGGCTGAGCTGGCCACACACACACACACACACACACACAAACAAATAAATAAAATTAAAAAAAATAAAGTATAATTAAAAAATAAATACCTGGTAGAAAAAAATAAATACCCAGTAGAACAGAGAGAAATTGACCTATACATTAGAACCCTAGGCTCAGAGAAAATGTCTTCAAGCTTCCAGAGAGAAAGCAGGGCTCATGCAATGGGAATGATGTTAGGCATTGTAAAGTAACACTGCGTGCTAGACGATGGTGGAATAATGCAGTGCCATTTGTATTTTCACAGAAATAGTTTCCAATTCAGAATTCCATACCCCATCTGTGTTAAGGTGAAGGCTAAAAATACAATGATTCCACTTTTTTCTTTTTTTTTGGCAGAGCTGGGGATTGAACTTAGGCCCTTGCGCTTGCCAGGGAAGTGTTTATTCCACTGAGCCATCTCCCCGGCCCTATGATTCCATTTTTCTCAGTAAACTTAATTTTTTCTTGTAAAATAGTTCAGTGTGGTTTGTTCACTGTGCTCTATAAATCATACAGTGGCCAAGGCTTGGAGTGCAGCTGTCCTATCCTTTAGGGTCTTACACTGAGAAGTGTGGTCTGTGGTCCAGCAGCGTGACATTAATGCAAAACTGGCTAGAAATACAGAATCTCATTCCCACTCCTGACCTACTGCCTGCTATGTTAGTGTTTATGTTTTAAGATCCCCAGGTGATATGTATGTGCAGTACATTTGTGAAATACTGCTGTTGGGCATTGACTATATTGTTAATACTGAGTTACTTCCATCCTGGGTTTGCTGCTGAGAGAAAGGAAGAAGAGAAAATGTGGAGGAGACAGCCTGTCTGGGCCCCTGGCTAAGCAGTAGCCTGTTGTTATTTCTAGTCATATACCACTGGAGGAAACTTGGTCTTATGGTCTCCCTTACTCTGGGGTTCTGGGATGTCTGGTCTCTTCCTAGGTGGCCAACTACTGTTCTGTCACCATGGAAGAGTAGATTTTAGGAGACACTGTGTCCAGAATCTCACAAAGCCAAACTCTGCATTATGAAGACAGAATAGACATTTTGATATGTACAAACTCTCCAGATTTTTCTCCTATGGGTACCATTTCTCAGGAAGTCAGTAAAGTTAGACCAGAAGAGGAAGGTATTGAGGTCAGGAGCTAAGACCTTAACTCATGGAAGGTAACTTTCATGGTTGTAGCATGAAAGGAATTTTAGCATAGCAAGTGCAAAGAACAGTTGATTCATTAGGAGGATCTGGACAGATTTCTTCAATGAGA